GAGAGAGAGAGAGGGAGAGAGAGAGAGAGGGAGAGAGAGAGAGAGGAATTAGTTACGATTACGATGATCAACTACGCGTACACCCAAAAGCAACCACCACAATACATCATCCCACAAAAGAGTATTATGAGTCTCCACCCACTTTCAGAGGATAGAAGGAGTAGAGGAATACAAGACGAAGGGAAGTCTAAAACCCGAGCCGTCCTTTCTCGAAATGGACAAGGCTCATCTTGCACCTCTAGCATCTTGTCCTGAGAGAAGCGCTTATGTTGAGTTGATCACGACGTTGCACAAAGGGATGGTGGGGGGGGGGGCAGGAAATCGTATCTTGAACCCTGCCATTCTGGTCGTTCTGATATCTCTACGTAGCTTCCTTCTTCTTCTTTTCCTTTTCTTTTCCTTCTTTTTTTAAAAAAAAAAAATTAAAAAAAATTTCAATTTTTTTTTTGAATTCATCTAGTCTTCTTCTCCCCTCCTACTTTTCCCCTCTTCTATTTCTCTCTCAAACAACGGCTATGGCTTGTAGCCATCTTATATCCCCGCCCAACTATATAAATCTTGTACGAATCCCAGAGTAGAGAGGGAGAAGAGAAAGAAGCAGATCTTGTAGGCAAGACATCCTCCAGCTTGGGAGACTCTCATCCTTCATCTTCTTACTGATTACTCGGCAAGTTCTATATCGGCTTCTGCCGTCTCTCCCACGAACACAATCCACCTGCATCCTTCGTCTTCCATCCTTCATCTCATTTCGTCTCCACGAGACCATCATACCCAGAGATTTGTATTTCCTCGTTGATGACATCGTCAACATATGGGAGAAAACAGCCTCAACCCTGGAAACCTCATGCAGACGAGGACGGATGAAGATTGTCAACCAGTCTGCCAAAAATAAACTATATCGACCTTTCTCTCCCCCCACTGGGACAGGATACGAGAGCAGGAAACCCTCTGCGAGAGAGAAGAGGGAGAGTGAGAGCAACAACGAACTCTCTTTCCCTAGCTCAGCGGCGCCTCTCTAGCACCCGAAGAAAAAGAAAGGAAAGGAAAAAAAAGAAAAAAAAAAGGGAAAAGAAAAAAGAAGAGTATCCCCATACTTGCGGGTCGTCGTACCGAGAAGAAGAAAAAAAGTTGACAGCCGGCACCTTCAAACTCTCAGCCCTTCATCAACCAACAAGCTTCCTAGGAAGAGGAAGAGGAAGTGGAGTCCCACGTCAAAGAGGATAGTCAACCCAACCCACACGCTCCATAGGAGAGAGAGGGGGGAAACGCACGTATAACCCCTGTCAGAGAGTCAATTGCTTGACAGGTTCTCTTACCTACATCTTCAGCAAACGTGGAGGTTCTCATCCGTCATAAAATACCCTTGTACGCGTCAGTTCGTCGGATGAGGACAGCGCAAGTGTGTTGGGTCCTCCCACAGCTACCAACCCCCCACCCCCTCTTTCGTTTCCATTCGGGCAGGAAATACTCTGTAAGAGGAGATATCGTCTTACTGTTTATTACCATTGTCATCTGGGTCCCCCTTTCCGTCGTTGCTTCCCCCCCCCCCCCCCCCCTCTCCCCCCTCCTCTTATGTACAGCTGGTGCTGTTACTCGGCCTTGTCTCCCTTCCGGACGACGTCAGCTCGTGAGACATCGAATAAAAAAAATCCCCCGCCATTAATATCATCATCAGCATCAGCCGTGCTCTTTACATTACGACGTACCCCCCCTCCCCCCTCTCCCCCCTCTCTCTGTTCTCTGTAGGATGTCGATGATGGATACACATCCTTGTCAGCAGCCGATGAGGGATACAATACCAACTCTACCCACCGAGGAGCAGACTTCGTTTGATGAACTGTGCACGGTATCCCCCTCGGCAAACACGCCTGGACAGTTGGACTCCTCCACCCCTTCCTTACCTCAGAACATGACGACGCCCTTTGACCACGCCTTCTTCGACGAGGCCATGAGCTTACACCCGCACCCGTCGTTACTTCCTGCGGAACCGCTGTCGGTCACAGCCACAGCTGTCACACCTCCGTTCTCACACATGATGCTCCCCGCCGCTGACAAGGCGGGCATGCCCCCTTCTTCCCACCCGTTTCACGGTGAACTCCCTTATTCTCCAGAGTTTGACGCCACTACCGGCTTCGCTCCCCAGCCTGAATCCTGGATGCAGCAGCAGCAGCAGCAACAGCACATGCAGCTTCAGGACCAGCTATACCAGTACCGTCCGCACTACCAGCAGCAGCAGCAGTCCGCAGGTCGACCTACCCCGAGACGCACAGCGGCCAGCATGGCGCCGCCCTCACCGCGGTACTCTTCCTTCGCACATACACGGCGCGGGAGGCCGCAGCAATCTCGGCGACGGCAGCAGCCCAGGGGACGTCGGAGATCCAGAGCCGGCGATGACGACGTTGACGGAGACGATGACGAAGACGACGAAGACGACACCGCCTGGACAGCAGAGAACGCCGGTGAATCCATAGCAGGATACGAGAATAAGGGAACCGAGAGCACGACGACCAGTGGAGGGAACAACAACAGCAACAGCAGCAGCAGCAACAATAACAACAACAACAACAACAACAACAACAACAACAACAACAACAACAACAACAACAACCACATCAAGAACAAGTCGCCCATCTCTCCCGAGGGTAGAAAACGCGACACCGTACTGGAACGCAACCGCAGAGCGGCCACCAAATGCCGGCTGCGCAAGCGCGACCAGGCCAAGGAGCTCGAGGAGCACGAGCGCGCGGCCGCGGATGAGAACCTGGTCCTGCGCGGCTTCTACGACGAGCTGTCGACCCAGATCTTGAATCTCAAGAACATGGTGCTCGAGCACGCTGGCTGCGACTGCGTCCTCATCCACCGCTACATCCACAAGGAGGCAGCCCTCTCCGTCGAGAGGATGGAGCGCAACTCGGCCGCCGCCGCCGCCGCCGCCGCCGGAGACGGGGCCACCGCCCCGTCAAGTCCCCCCACCTATACCGACGCTGCTGCTGCTGCCGCCGCCGGCCTGCCCTTCCACGACAACCAACCCTCTCCCCCCCCGATGGGATACAGTTTCGACGCCGCCGGCCCCGGCTCCGGCTCCGGCCCCGCCCCCGCCCTCATCAGCGAGGGAGAATCGGTCATCAGTCCGACCGGATCGGCCGCCCAACATCACGGCCATGTCTCCATCGCTACCGCCGCCACCCTCGCCCACGCCGCCCGTCTACGGGCTGAATGGAGCCGACAGCATCAGCCGCTACTCCTACACCACCACCAACACCACCACCAGCAGCAGCATCCGCTCATGGCCGGTTTCCCGAGATCCTACAGCTCCCCCGATGTCGGCACCGAAGCCTACGGCCACTACATGGTAAGCCACCGGCATCCCATGGATCCCACTGCGTCTGCCATGCCACTGCCCACTGCTCAGGTCCAGGTTCCCCAGGTCGGCTACATCCGTCATCCTATGGGAGGGGTACCCCAAGAGCACCAACACCAGCACCAGCACCAGCAACCACCCCCTCCATATCCTGGACACGAGAATGCCGCGTGGCCGCAATGGACCTGAATTTATTAAGTTTGAATCTTTCATCTTCCTCTTCCTCTTCTTCTTCTCATATCGTCTCATCTATTTATTCTTTTCAAAAGAAACTCTCGGATATCTTCTTCCTTATTCCTAACCAAAGCATGTACCTACCTGTTCTTCCTCCTCTTTACATCACCTTTTCTATTTCTGATAGCAGACAGTCCTTTTTTTTCTGCCCACACCAAATTGACAGAACTATCCCTTTCCTATAATCTCCTACCGAGAAGACTGACACTGTGCATTCTCCCTCTGTCAAAGCTTTCTCCTTGTTCATCTGGATACATCTGGCTTCTACTGGCTTTGAGTTTGACTTTTCACTTTGAAAATCTCGTATTCTTCGGAGGAGAAGACCATCACCAAATGGCATATCGGTACCAAGGTATCATTCAACTGATATCTGATGAACAAGGTTGCAACGTCCCATATAAACCAGCAAAAAAAAAAAAAAAAAAAGAGGGGGGGGGGGGGGGGGGGGGGGGGGGAGAAAGAGAGAGAAAAAGAAAAGAAAAGAAAGAAAAAAAACTCATCACATAAAGGGGAGAGCGGGTTTATTTCGTGATCGAGCGAGGGAAAGG